ATCATATATATATATATATATAAACAATTCAAACTACTACCATAAATATATTTATTACCCTCATTAACTTCTAATTCAAAATTCAAATTCAAATTCAAATTATTCATTAATAATATTTAATTAACCAATTCAATTATCATTTAATTAAAATTCAATTTAATTTTCCATCAAATGCCTCCCGTAAATTGAATTTGCTCTTGACTCCCAAAGTAGCAACATTTCTTGAGAAAGCGGGTCCACCAAGCGATTTTGTGAAGATATCAGCCAACTGCTCTTCACTTGGGCAATATGTAATGTCAATGTCACCTTCATTAACAAGATCCCTTAAGAAGTGAAAGCGAAGACGGATGTGTTTTGATCTTCCATGAAAGACCGGATCTTTGGAAATAGAGATAGTCGATTTATTGTCACAGAACAATGTCGTAGGAGCATGCTCCTTGAAGCTCAAACTCTCAAGGATTCCTCTAAGCCACACAATTTGACTCCCAGCCAAAGATGCCGCTATGTACTCTGATTCGGTGGTGGAAAGTGCCACAATTTGTTGTTTTTTCAAACTCCATGAAACAACTCCACCTCCAAGGTTAAACACATAGCCAGATGTACTTCGAGAATTATCACAGCTTCCTCCCAAGTCACTATCCGTATAGCCAACAAGTTTGATGGGAGCATTAGCTTCATAATATATGCCATAATCCAATGTCCCTTTCACGTACCTTAAAATTCTTTTGGCAGCCTCCCAATGATTCGAGAATGGCTTCTCCATGAATCTGCTAACCAAGCTCACAGCAAACATGATGTCAGGCCGAGTGGCTGTAAGGTACATCAAGTTTCCGATTAGACTGCGAAACATTGTTGTGTCAACCATCTTCCCTTCTCCATTTTTGCTCAACTTCAAACCTGTTACGCAAGGGGTTGTTACTGAATTGGCATGCTCCATATTTAATTTTCTTAGAACCTCAACTGCATATTTTTCTTGAGAAATAAAAATTCCAGATTTTGATTGTTCAACCTTGATCCCAAGAAAATGATGCAATTCTCCTAAATCGCTCATCTCAAATTCCTTCATTATAGCCGCTTTAAATTCTCAAGCGTCTTCAAATCATTTCCAGTGAAGATAAGATCGTCAACGTAAAGGCTCACAATCATAACACCACCATTGCGACATTTTTTGACATAGAGAGTATGCTCGAGTGGGCATCTCTCAAAGCCAAACTTCAAGAAAAATTCATTAATCCTTCCGTACCATGCTCGAGGCGACTGCTTCAACCCATAAAGAGCTTTTATGAGTTTATAAACTTTATGTTCCTCGTCTTTTCGAACAAATCCAGGAGGTTGCTCCAAGTAAATTTCTTCTTTAATAAATCCATTCAAGAATGCGGATTTCACATCCATTTGGAATAATTTCCAACCATTTTGAGCTGCAAGTGAAAGAATCAATCAAATCGTATCAAGCCTGGAAACGGGAGCAAATACCTTATTAAAGTCTTCTCCTTCTTTTTGCTTGTAGCCCTTCGCAACCAATCTTGCCTTATATTTGTTGACTGATCCATCAAGATTTGTTTTTGTCTTGAACACCCATTTTACACCAATTGGAGATTTATGTGGAGGCAAATTTGTAAGCTCCCAAGTGACATTCTTCTCGATGGAATTAATCTCCTCTTTCATGGCTTGCACCCATTTCTTCTCCTTCGCTGCTTCTTCATACGAGATTGTATCTACCCCTGCAAAGAAAGCAAAGTACACTTGGTTTGGCCCATCAGTCGCTTCAGTTTCATTGTAAAGTTCTCTCAAAGTCCTTGTCCTTCTCGCTGTTGGAGCTGCAGAATTTTCAGCAGGTTCTTCTTCACCAATGTTTTGCTGCATTTGTTGAGTAGCAACATCTTCAAAATTAAGAACCTGCCAATGTGAGAATTCTGATGATAAATCTGAAAAATCATAGGAAGCATTCTCATCAAATCGTACATCCCTGCTGATCACAATTTTCTTTGATTTTGGGTTATACAACTTGTAAGCTTTTTTTCTCACACTATACCCAATGAATATGCATTTTTCAGATTTATCATCAAGCTTACTCCTCAAAGAATTTGGGATGTGTGCATAGGCAACGCTACCAAGTGTTTTCAAGTGGCTAACATTCGGTTTCTTCCCATACCACACCTCATTCGGAGTATAATTCTCCAAACTCTTTGTCTGCAATCGATTGATCAAATAGACAGCACATGAGACTGCCTCTCCCCAAAATTCAGCTGGCATATTTTTCCTTTTCAGCATGCATCGAACCATATCCATGATGGTTCTATTTTTTCGTTTGGCAATGCCATTTTGTTGTGGTGAATATCAGGCTGTCAATTCATGTCGAATCCCATGGTTCCGACGGAATTCCTCAAACATTGAGGACATGTATTCCCCTCCACGATCACTTCGCAGGATTTTTATGTGAGAACTAGTAAATTTCTCAACTTGAGCTTTAAATTCTTTGAATCAAGGAAGTGCATCAGATTTTTCTTTCACCAAATAAACCCAAACTTTCCTTGTGAAGTCATCAATAAACAACAAGAAATATCGGTTACCTCAAAGCGATGGAACTTTAATTGGCCAGCATAAATCTGTGTGAACCAGTTCCAAAGGCATTTTTGATTTCCAATCAGATTTTGATGGGAAAGACTCTCGATGTTGCTTTCCCAATTGGCACTCTTCACAAACCTCTTGTACTCCTCCGATTTTGGGCAGTCCATATCCTGCAAGCTCCCAAATTAAGGTGCCCAAACCTGTCATGCCACAGTTTGGATATTTGCTCATTAACAGCAAGATTTCCAGCATTATTTAAGATATCAAGCTTCAAAGCAAACAAATTGTTTGCTCCTAAACCAATTTTTGCTATGATTTGATTTTTCTTCTCCATAGTGCAAAAGTTGTCAACAAAATGAATATCAATCCCCTTTTTCATTAAGTGGCCAGCACTTAACAAATTGCTTTGTAATCCTGAAACATAAAATACCTCAGACATTTTCTCAAGTCTCCCATTTTTTGCCTTGAATGAGATTTCTCCAACGCCTTCGATCTTATATGCCTTGGCATCTCCAATAGTAACCTGCCCATGATTAGCTTCGACAAGAGTGGAAAACATATTTTTATTTCCAATCATATGTTTGCTTGCCCCGCTGTCCAAATACCAAATATCCCCAATATTTCCATTTGAAGCAATCAACAATGTTTCTGTAATTTCGACTCCTTTCTCATGCACAAAACTATTTTCACGCCTCTTTTCTGGATATTTTTCCCAACAATCAGAAATTTTATGTCCAGGTTTGTGACAATAATAGCACTCTACATAAGGTTTTGTACCTTTATAGTTACCACGCCCTCTTCCTCATTGGGTGAAAGATCGTAATTTCTCATCTTCACGCTGCTCTTTATTTTCTGTAGGTGGTTGGCCACCCCTTCCTCGTCCCCAGCTTTGATTTTGTGCTCGCCCGTGTCCACGAAAGAAACCACGCCCTCCCGTAAATTGGGACTTCAAAGCATGATCTTGAGAAATGGAACTTTGAGAATTCCTTTGAAGTATTCTTACTTCATGGGCCTCCAATCTTCCTTGCAAACTTTCTAACACCATCGACGAGAGATCTTGCGACTCCTCTATTGCTACCACAACATGGTCGAATTTACTTGGTAGGCTACGCAAGATTTTCTCGACTATCCGTTGGGTTTCAACAAATTTTCCATTTGATGCCATTTGATTCACAAGAGAATTCGCTCTCGTAAAATAATCTCCAATTTTTTCGTTATCTTTCATCTCCATTTTTTCAAATTCAGCCCTTAATGATTGCAAGCGAACTTTTTTTACTTGATTTTGCCCAGAGTATGTTGTTTGTAGGATGTTCCATGCTTCTTGTGCACTTCCAGCCTTGGATAGTCTTTCATAGACTGGAATCTCAATCGCTTGATATATTTGAAAGAGAGCTTTTCTGTCTTGTTGCCTTCTGTTCCTCAGAGAATTTCTTTCGGCATCAGTGAGTCGGGATTCGTCATCTGAAGCACCTACACCATCTTCCACAACACTCCATAAGTCTTGAGATTCAAGACATAATTTCATGAGATTGCTCCAGTAATCAAACTTTTCGCCATTGAATCGAGGAACGAGATAAACTAGATTGTTGGACATAGCCGAAGCTCTGATACCAATTTGAAGGCAAATTATATAAAATAAAAGGAGAATAAAAAAATATAAGGTGATAATCAAGAAATATTCACTCAAAAAAATATATATATTTCGATTTACTTACACATCATATATATATATAAACAATTCAAACTACTACCATAAATATATTTATTACCCTCATTAACTTCTAATTCAAATTCAAATTATTCATTAATAATATTTAATTAACCAATTCAATTATCATTTAATTAAAATTCAACTTAATTTTCCATCAAATAAGACTAAATGCAAGCAACTCAGTATATAAAAGGATTATGAAATTCATCATATATATATAAACACTTATATATGACTAGGGGTACGGATGATTACCTGAATTAACTTTTGTATCCCTGAATGTGTGAGAATTCATCATGTCTTTATTTGTCCAAATATGTGATTTACCTATCTTCTTTTTACAAATATGTAATTTAGAGAATGAAAAGTATTTTTGGCCGACAACATATTTTAGCCGATATAGAGACCCTCATCCATCCAAATATATATATATATCTTAGTATTAGGATATCAATATAATTTAATTTTATAATTAAATTATAAAAAATATATCAATATGCATATCATTTATCATTTTTTAGAGAATAATATTTTCTAATACCAAAAGTAAAAACCTAAAAACATTATAATTTAAAAATATATTCTAAAAATGACAATTATGATTAGATTGATTGCACACCCATCCAAAATTATCTTTAAATTATTTACTTGGCCACAATAATACCACATTATGGTTAAGGTATGGGACGGATTGGATGACCGATGGCGTTAGAATTCCCCAATGGCATTAGGTTGGCCAATACCTGATGCATGCCTCCCTCTCCGCCAAGGTTGGCCGCGCCTCCTTCTCCAGCCACTCTTCACCCAAGGTTGGTCGATGCTGATGCACGCCTCCCTCTCCAGCCAAGCCAAGGTTGACCGATATCCAATGCGCGCATCCATCTCCGGCCAATGTTGGTTGATGCCCAATGAGTCTCTCCCTTTTTAGTCAAGATTGGCCGATGCGCCCTCCCTCTCCTTGCAAATGAGCCCTCCCTCTCAAGAAAAGGCCGTTGAGCGCCGATCACCTATGCGGATGGTAGCCACATGAAGGTTAACTTGTTTTGAAGTAATGATTTTCTGTTCAAAGAGGACATATAAGTTTGTATAAGGAACAATTAAACCAAAACATCTTGAGAAAATTATAAGTTACATTTATGATAGAGCTTTCTCTAGGCAAACTCACCATCATTGTCAGTGCTGGAAAGTGTTTCTCACTTTATTCATCACATTATTATAGTTTTTTTTAAATTTATTAGTCTGTCTATAATTTTTTTGGCATTGTTGCGGATGCCTACCTGTTTTTATTTCATTTTAGCATTTTAATTCTTGTTTGAGTTTGAGGTTTACTCGAACCCAAGTGTGGTTGCTTGAGATGTTTAGTTTGGTTCACTAATTACTACTGTCGATTAGTTTTGTTTCTAGAATTTTTTGGTGTCATCGCAACTTATTGTTGATTATCAAATATTACAAAGATCTAATGAATTGGTTTAATATAGTTTTGTTGTTCAAGTGTTTTTGAAAAGATGGGGCATTATTATGATGTACAATATTTGATGAATGATGTTTCTGTATTTTAGAAGCATTGCTTCTGTATGGCTTCTTCGTAGTGATGTTTTTCTTAGGAAGTGAATATCATGAACATTTTGTAGGTCTTCCAGGGCTTGTTCTTGCCAAAGAAGTCCAGATTGCTAGTGTATCTAATATTTTCTCAAATGCATTTAAGGTAGCTTTTTCTGTGCAAATCATTATTTGTATAATCTGTGTTGTGTCGATTCGATGTAATGTTGTAGTGAAAAGTGTTAAATATCAAATATGGAGACACAAATACACACAAATGCAAAATACAAAAATATGAAAGCAAATACTTAAACACACACATATAAACACTAAAACATGAAGAACAAATACTTACTTGGCTATAATAATTCTCACTTTTCACACCTTCAAAATACTCCAACGGACTACATCATTTTAAAGCACAAAGATATATTGTATTTGACACATGCACCAATTCCAAACTTCCTTCATTCACATGATCTTGGAAAAAACTAAAGCAAACATCAATATGCTTACTTATTTCATGGTTCACTGGATTCTTTGCTAACTCAATCACAGATTTGTTGTCAAATTGAATTATAGTTGTATGTGGTTGCTTCTTCCATCTTACTCAACAAATTCCTTAACCATATTGCATGACATACACACCAAGATGCTGCCACATATACACTTCACACGTCGAGAGTGTCACGATCGGTTGTCATCACACCAATCACTTTCAGAGTACCCAATCAACTTGTAATAATTCATTTTCATGTAGAACATCTCAAGCGGTACTGTTCCTTGAATGTATAGTAGGATTCGCTTCAAAGCCTTCCAATGTGAATAAATTGGGTCCTACCTGAACCGACTTACAACGCCAATGCTTAATAAAATATCCGGCCTTATGCATGTGAGATGGCGAAAGGCTTTATACCGAACTCCGGTATCTACTTGCATCTACACGTTCTCCTCCATCAAAATTTGAGATTTTTACACCCAATGCCATATGTGTTCATACCAGGTTCCAATCCGCCATATTGTACTTCTTTAAAATCTCTTTTGCATATTTTTTTGTGATACAAAAATACCCGTCTCTACTTGTCAAACCTCCAATTCAAGAAAATCTTTCATCAAGCCCAAATAAGTCATCTCAAATTCATGTGTCATCACTTCCTTAAACTTCTTTTATCATCTTATCGTTGCTACCTCTAAAAATAAGGTCATCAACATAAAGAACAACAAACATGATATTACCTACATTCTTCTTTGTATAAAGAGTGTGCTCGTAGGGACATTGGTTTAAACCATTATTCTTGAAATATGTATCGACGCATGTATTCCATGCCCGCGGTGCTTGTTTCAGTCCATAAAAGGGATTTATTTACTTTTAGCATCTTATTCTCTTATCTAAATTTTACACACCCGAGTGATTGCCCGATGTAGACATCTTCTTCAAGTACGCCATTCAAGAATGTCGATTTGACATCCATTTAATATATCAGCCATTTGAATTGAGCAGCTTGTGAGTGAGTAATTGAAATGTCTCCATTCTTGCAATAGGAGCAAATACCTCGTATCATAGTCAATTCACGCCCTTTGTTTGTATTCCTTCGCCACGAGTCACGCTTACCTTTCTATCTCCTCTTGAGCATTCATTTTTTTTCCTGAATACCCACTTCACTCCAATGGGTGGATTTCCTTCCAGCAATTCCGTTAACTTCGCATTCGGAGCTGTCGTGGTTCATCTTCATTTTTGATAATTACAGCGTATATTGGTATGATTATTGGTGTAGAAGTTGACGATTCCCCCACTCCATGAATAGCCTTCATTGAATTATTACAATCCCACTTGTTTGTTTCATCTACTTGCATGTCACGTCTCACTATCACCTTCTTGCGTATTAGGTCAAACAACTTGTACCCTTTTCTCTTCTCATCATATCCAATAAAAAATTATTTTTTGCTTTTGTCTTTAAGCTTCATTCTTCATTGATCTGGTATATGTGCATAAGCCACACTACCAAATACTTTGAGATGATACACCGTCGGCTTTTGTCTTCTCCACACCTCTTTTGGTGTTTGATCATGTAGCTTGGCATGTGGACATCTATTTTGTTTGATTACACATTGTACAACTTCCACCAAAACCTCTTTCAGCATACTTTTGCTCTTGAGCATTAATCAAACCATGTCAAGAGTAGTTTGATTTTTTCTTTTGGCGACACTATTTTGTTGAAGAGAGTATAGTGCAATTAAAAATATCCTTATGCCTTTCTCTTCAAAATACTTCAAGAAATCCATCGAAGTATACTCGCCACCTCGATCCGATCGTATGACTTTGATATGTCTACCGATTGCCTTCTCCACCATCACTTTGGATTTTATAAACACCTCGAATGCCTCGGACTTCTCTTTCAAATAAACCCAAGTTTTTTTTTAGAAATCATCAATAAAAAAAAAAAGATAAAGTACCTTTTTCCGCTGAAAGATTCGGGCTGATTGATCCACATATATCGGTATGAATCAACTCGAGTGGAAGTTTAGCTCGATATTTCGCCTTCTTTTGAAATGCTATTCTTTCTTGCTTTCCAAACACACGTTCTTCGCAAAATTCTCCATCATAATCTATGTTCGGCAACCCATGCACCATGTTCTTCTTTACTAGCTCTTTAAGACCACCATGGTGTAGGTGACCATAACGAAGATGTCATAATGACGCCTTGTCTTACATGTTCACTTGAAAACACCTTTTTGCATGCTTCTCAAATTCAATTTGTACATTCGATTTCTTCCTATCTCAACTTGAGCAATCAAGCACCCTTTCTTGTCCTTCAAGTATAGCACCCGATCATTTAAAAGTATCGAGTAGCCTTTTTTCGTTAGTTGCCCCGTACTTAAAATGTTGATCTTAAGATCTAGTACATAATAAACATCTTGAATTGACCTTATTAAGCCATCTTTTTGTAAGTAATGAACCATACATAATGCTATGATCTCCACTTTAGATGCAACTCCAAACGACTTGTAATCATCTTCAATTTTCTACATCTCCTTAAATTTATGCACAAAATCTAGTAACTAATTTTATCAACTCATAATTTTAGGATCTTACTTTAACAAATAATAACTAATTTGTCATTACTTTATATGTAACTTACCCTACTTTAATATTAAAATATTATATTTTTAATCTTCGTGTCCAACCAAACCTATATAATTTTTACCGAATGGAGAGAGTATATTTTTACAAAAATTACAATTATTGTATAATAAAAAGAACTAAAATTAAATTACAAATAAATACACCCAAGTGTAAGAAAATTATGGAAAAAAATGCACAAAATCAAATTGCGATGATTTAAAATTTTAAAACAAAAATGATAATTAGGTGCATCAACACGAAAAGAATTGCATTAATTTTTAAATGAAGAAATTGCATATTTTTTTGTCCCGTAAATATACATGGATAACCTATTTTCAAATGTTTGCGTTGGTTTACTTACGTTTCGAATTTGTATTTGCATTATCTATTTTAAAAAAAATCTATTTAAAAAATATTACATTCAAATTTTATTTTTAATTTAAAATATTACATCAAAGATATATTTTCATTCAAATTATCACATCTAATTCAAATTATCACATCTAATTCTTAATCATGTGGCATGAAATACTTTATGTTTTACTTTTTATTATTCTCTAATCAATTGAAAATCCCAAACACTTACAAAACACATATAAATGGTAATTTTCAATCTTCTACTATGACTTGGCACGACCATATTTTGAAAGGAAAAATTGAAATAAATATTATGTACCTATGGTCAATTATCACTTTTGCTTTTTAATTGTCACTATGGTAAAATATATTCCACATGTATCACTTTTTCGCAATTTTTGTCCTCTGGCCGCACGTGAAGTTCATGAAAAATACAATCTCACGTGCGTGGAGTGGAATTGTGCTACGGATGATGAAAATCATGAAAAAATAACACATTAGGATATATTTTTTGCTAGGGTAACAATTAAATACAAGAATGATAATTACTCGGAATTACACCTATTTTTAGACTCAAAATTACACAAGACTTACACGATTAATCTGAAATGACCAAAAGAACCAAATAATGATATTGTTTTGTCCACCCAAAGTCATTTAGGGCCCTAAAAATCCTAAATACTAAAAAAAAATGTACATCTATTTTCAGACTCAAAATTACACAAACTTCGCATGGTTAATCCGAAATGACTAAAAAAACTTACCAGTGATATTGTTTTGTCTATCCGAAGTCGTTTAGGGCCCTAAAAACTATAAACACTAAAAAAACGTAAAACCATTTATAGACTTGGAACTAGAGGAAATTCGCATGTTTCATCTTAAACAACCAAATGAAACAACCAATGATATTATTTTGTCCATCCAAGGTCGTTTATGATCCTAAAAACCCTAAACACAAGAAATGTAAACTTATTTTCAAAATCTGAATTAAACGGAACTTGCACGGTTTATCCAAAACGATCAAACGAAATGTAAACCTATTTTTTAATCACAATTAGACAAATTTTGCATAGTTAATATGAAACGACCAAACGCACTAACCAATAATATTGTTTTGCCAATCCAAGTCAATAAATAATTTTTTAGAGAAGAAATTGAATGAAATTTGCACGGTTCATCTGAAACAGGTATACACGAACCAACCAACAAAATATTTTGTTAGTCCAAGGTTGTTTAAAGCCCAAAAATCCAAAGCGCTAAAACAAAGTAAACTAATTTATAGATTCAAAATTGGACAATTATTATATTTGTCTTTTAATTGGTTACCATGGCAAAATATATCTCATATGTGTCACTTTTTTGTGATTTTTATCCTCTAGCCGTGCGTCAAATACAATCGTTGTGACATGTGCAGGTGTCGGTGCGAGTGGAATTGTGCTACGAATGACAAAAATTACATAAAAGTGACACCTGTAAGAAATATTTTACCAATGTGACAATTAAAATATAAGAGTGATAATTGGTCATAAGTACAAGATATTTATTGTAATTTTTCCTATTTTGAAACAGTAAGTTGTAGTAGTTTGCATCTTTATACTTATGATTTAAATATCTTGCAATGTGATTTTATCATAAAAAAAAAATCTACAAAATAATGTGATTTAATTTGTACAACCAATAATTAATTTTACAAAGTTACAAAGTCAAATTAATAATCAAATATACATGCATATATCATAATTTATAAATTTATCCACTCTCCTTTAAATTACTATTCAATTTATTTGATCTATGCTTTATATCTTCGCTTATATTTAAGCCTATTCTCATAAAACAATTAATTGCAAAACATGATGGCTTCCAAAGCTTCACTATTTTTTGTCCATTGCTTGGCTATACTTCTATGCTTTTCTTCCCAAGTATTTCCAATGGATCCACCCAACCTTTCCTTCGACCCTTCATTATTTTTAGTGTAAATTACAAATATAAATTTTTATATATTTTCACCTATGTAATGAGTTGAGGTTACTTCGCATTTAAGTGTAAATCAGTTGGATGTTATATAGTTTATTAAAGAGCGGATAAGTAATCACTTTTGAATTTCCCAAACGATTATGACGGAGCAAGACATAGTTTTTATTGGGAAAATATTCAAAACATTTGGGACTCAATATGTAATTAAAATTGTCCATTCATTGTCTTATTATGCTTAGGCCAATGGGAAAGCCGAGTCTACGAATACAAATATGGGGTTGATCATTAAAAAGGCATTGGAAGACAACTCTCGAAGATGGTTTGAAGTTTTTTTAGAAGTGTCATGGGCACATTAGAATGCTAAGAAAGTTGCAACTAGTCTTACACATTTTTTATTTACATATGGACAGGACGCCATTTTTCCAATTGAGATCATACTTCCTTCTCTCTGGGTTACTCAACAACATACGTTGGACATTGAAGAGTATCATTAAGCGTTGTTTGATGTGCTTGATCAAGAGGATGAGGATCAATAGGCTGCTTTTGAGAATATTTGAACGCATAAGGGTAAAATGACACGGTGGTATGATAAGAAGGTTAAAGGCCAATTATTTGCAATTGGCGATTTGGTTTGAAAGTGTACTTTTTCGATTGGGACAAAGGATCATAAAAAAAGAAAGTGATTTCCATGTTGAGAAGGCCCTTATGTGATCAATGATATACTATCAAATTGAGCGTATCAGATAATGCATTCCGATGAGTTGGAGTTGAAGAAGATTGTGAATGCTCGAGAGTGGTGTACTGTGAGATGATGTGTGAACAAAATGTTGTATGCGTTTTTGGATCATATTAATATTGTACTTCATATATGAAACAATTTAAATGTCCCTAATATATATATATATATATATGGGATAAATCAATTTCAAAAGGGTGGTCAAAAGATAAAAAATCAAGTGAAATTCAACAAAAACATTTAACATGCAAGTGTACACCACATAGATCAGCTAGGTTATAACTCGCTTAGAGATCATTTAGTCATCGGTGCTATGGCCGATGGGTCAATTAGAAGGTTGTATGATCAGATGCTATTGTGGGAATTTTGGCTTGAACAAATGAATTTCATGATCCAGTTACTTTATTTCACTCTTCTTCAACATTTGCGAGTTCACGAAATGAATATTTATTATTTTTTTTAAAAGAAAAACTCAAATTAATTTGATTTTAAATCAATTTTAAATAATAATCTAATAAATAATTTTTTGATATTGTTATTATTTAAACAGTAAATTAAATATAATATCTTAAAATAAAAATAATATTTTCTTTAAAAAATTATAAATATTAAATAATAGAAAAATACAAATAAACAGAACCCTTTAAATTTTATAGAAATTAATTAATAATAACAACATTGCAAAAGAAAATAAATAATTAATTGAATTAGGTAATAAGTGAAAATTATTAAAATTATGCTAATAATTATTATTTTTGTTATGACGTATTATATATAGGTGTCATTAATTTATAATGCTTTGATATGTGTCAATATTGTATTATGCCAACCAAGCTAAATTGGTGACTAATCTCTTATAAAATTCCTATAAATATGGTTTTATGGGACAAATAAAGGTGATATATACAATTCTCTCTATTTGCATGTTTCTCTTCTTCTCTCCCTCGGCTTTCTCTTTCTCTCTCTAAATTATATACACACCTATACATATATATATTTATCTAAGTTATCTTTATATACATTATATACATACTTATATTTATATTATATTTGATATATTTCATAACACGTTATCAGCACGAGGCTTTGCCGAGGAAGTGCACATAAAAGATAGCGTATTTTTTTGTTGTATTACTCGGAAGGTTGCGGAAATTCTTGTAAGTATTTATTTTCTTTTAACAATGTCTAATATAGCAAAGTTTAAATTTCCCCCACTGACAATTACCGGAAATAATTATATGCCGTGGGTAATGGATGTCGAAATGCACCTCGAATCCATGGGTCTTTCGAAAACAATAATTAGTGAAAATGAATGCACAAATCAAGAACGTGCAAAGGCAATGATTTTCTTGCGTCATCATATTGACGAAGCCCTAAAAATGGAATATTTAATGGTGAAAGATCCATTTGAATTATGGACAAATTTAAAAGATCGATTTGGACATTTGAAATCTGTTATATTACCGAAAGCGAAACATGCATGGCAACACTTGCGTTTCCAAGATTTTAAAACAGTTGCTGATTATAATTCCATGATGTTCAAAATCACGTCCCAGTTAAGATTTTGTGGAGAAAATATTTCTGATAGGGATATGTTGGAAAAAAACATTTACCACGTTTCATGCCTTTAATATAGTTTTACAGCAACAATATCGAGAAAGGGGTTTTAATAAATATTGTGATCTTATTACTTGTCTACTTGTTTCTGAACAGAATAACGAATTATTGTTAAAAAATCACGAATCGAGGCCAACTGGTGCGAGTCCATTCCCTGAAGTGAATGCGACTCAGTGTTTAAATAATATGCCTAGATTCTACCGCGGACGAGGTCGCGGACAAGGCAGTGGACGTGGATTTGGTCGTGGACGTGGAATGAATCGTGGACGTGGAGCCGACCGTGGACGAGGTCGTGGCAGGTTTGTTTATTACCGTCAGGGATATTTTAATGAGCAGGAATCAAATAGGCCTATGAAGCGGCCTCAGAACGATATTGGTCAGAGTTCAAAGAAAAACGAGGATAAGTGTTATCGTTGCGGAATGACAGGGCATTGGTTCAGAAATTGTCGTTCCAATTCTTATTTTGTTGAGCTGTACCAAAATTCCCTGAAACAGAAAAACAAAGTGCCTGAAAAAGTTAAAGCACCGGAAAATGTCAATCCCTCATAAATTAATTTTTCAGAGAACGTTGTCAGTGGAAGTGGGGGTGATAAATGTAATGATAATACACAGTTAGATGTATATGATTTTCTAGTACACCCTGAAGGTGGGTACTATGAAAATCCCGAAAATGCGATATAAATGCATATAGATATGTGTAGATATTTTTGTAACACATGTAATTTTTGCTCCCTACATTTTGTAATGATATGACAGCTATGTATTTTCTCCAAATTTTTGATATATTTATTTTTATATTTCTTCCAGAAAAAGAAATATGAATGATGAGCACGTTATAATGAATAATATGGAAGACAGTTCATGTCTCATTGATAGTGCATCAACGCACAACATTTTGAAATATAAGAAATATTTCACCAACCTGAAGTTGGGAAAAATTGAGGTGAATACCATAAGTGGTTGTGCGAAGTTAATTGAGGGCTCTGGAAGAGCAATAATATTTTTCCCCGAATGAGTAAAACTTGATATCCAAAATGCATTATATTCTAGTAAATCTCAAAGAAATTTGTTGAGTTTTAATGATATTCGCAGAAATGGATATCATATTGAGACATCAAGTGTGGCAAATAATGAATTTTTGTTGATTACAAAATTCATTGATGGACATAAATATATATTAAAAAAATTGCCTTCATTGTCTTCCGGATTATATTGCACAAAGATTAATGTGGATGAAACATATCTGGTAGACCAGAAGTCTAATGATTTTATGATTTGGCATGACCGGTTTGGGTATCCCGGTAATACTATGATGAGATGAATTATTGAAAATACCAATGGCCATAACTTGAAAGATCAAAGGGTATTAAATACAAATGAGTTTATATGTGTTGCTTGCTCAAAAGGGAAGTTAATAACTAGACCATTACCGGAAAAAGTGGGAACTAAATCCCCTTCATTTTTAGAACGAATTCAGGGTGATATATGTGGACCTGTAGATCCACCATGCGGACCATTTTGATATTTTATGATACTTATCAATGCATCTACTAGATGGTCGCATGTGTGTTTATTATCTACCCGCAATTTGGCATTTGCGAGGTTGTTTGCTCAAATAATTAGATTACGAGCTCAGTTTCCAGATCACCCAATAAAGAAAATTCGTCTTGATAATGCTGGTAAATTTTCATCTAAGACTTTTGATGATTATTGCATGTCTATTGGAATTGACATTAAACATCCTGTACCTCATGTACATACTCAAAATGGTCTAGTTGAATCACTTATAAAAAGGCTGCAATTAATTGAAAGACCTATGCTAATGAAATCCAAACTTTCTGTCTCTGCTTGGGGATATGCAATTATGCATGCAACAACACTGATAAAATTAAGACCGACAAGCTATCATAGCTACTCCCTAGTACAATTAGTGTACAATGAAAAGCCCAATATTTCACATTTGAGAACTTTTGGGTGCGCGGTTTATGTGCCAATTGCACCGCCCCAACATACAAAAATGGGCCCCCAACGGAAATTGGGGATATATGTCGGGTACGAATCACCATCTATCATTAAATATCTTGAAACATTAACTGGTGATTCATTTACGGCTCGTTTTGCTGATTGTAATTTTGACGAGTCGCATTTCCCGATATTAAGTTGAGAAACTGATCAACTGAAAAAGAAAATTACTTGGAAAATACCATTCAGTTTTCTTGATCCTCGTACAAGTCAAAGTGAATTAGAGGTACAAAGAATTTTACATTTGCAGCGAATAGCAAATCAGTTGTCTGATGCTTTTTGTGACGCCAGCAGGGTCACTAGATCTTATATAGCTGTTGAAAATGTACCTGCTAAAATTGTTATTCCTTGAGACAAAATACAAAGTGCTACTAATGAATCAAATGTACGCCTAAAGCGTGGCAGACCTGTAGGTTCCAAAAATAAAAATCCTCGAAAGAAAAGAGGAACAAATGAAAGGATTGAAGATTTGAATGTTAATCAAAACCCTCAAGAAACAGGTAGTAACATGGATCAGATTTCTAGAGAAATTGATCCTGATAAACTTGATGAGGATGTTAATCCTAATAGAATTTCTTCTGAAGAGAATGAAATTATTGAAAATTGAATAAATTATGTTACTACTGGAAAGCATTGGAACCGAAGTGATACAATTATGGATAATACTTTTGCATATAATGTAACACTTGATCTAATGGAAAATGACGAGGATCCAGAACCTAGATCAGTTGATGAATGTCGGAAAAGAATAGATTGACCAAAATGGAAAGATGCGATCCAGTCTGAATTAAATTTATTGGCAAAACAAAAAGTTTTTGGACTCATTGTTCAAACACCTGAAGGTGTTAAGCCTGTTGGCTATAAATGGGTATTTATTCGAAAGCGAAATGAGAATAATGAAATTGTCAAATATAAAGCGAGACTTGTTGCCCAAGGTTTTTCACAAAGACCTGGAGTTGATTTTAATGAAACATATTCTCCAGTAATGGATGGAATAACATTTCGATATCTCGTCAGTTTGACAGTACATGAAAATTTGGATATGCGTCTGATGGACGTTGTAACTGCATATTTATATGGCTCGTTGGATAGTGATATTTACATGAAAATCCCTGAAGGATTTAGTATGCCTGATGCATATAAATCAAAGCCAAAAGAATGTTATTTTATTAAGTTACAAAAGTCTTTGTATGGGCTCAAACAATCTGGTCGCATGTGGTATAATCGTCTCAGTGAATCATTATTGAAAGAGGGATATGCCAATGATTCTATTTGTCCGTGTATTTTTATAAAGAAAAATGGGAGAAATTTTGTAATAATAGCTGTCTATGTGGATGACTTGAATTTAATTGGAATCCCTGTAGAGGTCCAAGAAGCTATTGAATATTTGAAAAGGGAGTTTGAAATTAAAGATTTCGGGAAAACGAAATTTTGTCTTGGTCTACAAATTGAACATTTGGAAAATGGGATTTTGATACATCAATCTGCATATACCGAGAAGGTATTGAAACGATTTGTAATGGATAAAGCACATTCATTGAGTACTCCAATGGTCGTTAGAACTCTCGATCCTATTAAAGATCCTTTTAGACCAAAAGAGGAGAATGAGGAAGCACTTGGTCCTGAAATACCATATTTAAGTGCTATTGGTGCACTAATGTATCTGGCTAACAGTACTAGACCAGATATAGCGTTTGCTGTAAATTTATTAGCCAGATTTAGTGCAATGCCAACACAACGACATTGGAAAGGAATCAAACATATTTTTTGTTATCTCCAAGGATCCATTGATCTTGGTCTATTATATCCAAAAGGATCTCGACATGAATTGATTGGATATGCAGATGCTGGGTATCTTTCTGATCCGCATAAAGCCAAGTCTCAGACTGGCTATATGTTTACTTGTGGCGGTACAGTGGTATCTTGGAGATCCACTAAACAAACATTAACCGCCACATCTTCAAATCATGCAGAAATAATAGCAATTCATGAAGCCAGTAGAGAGTGTGTTTGACTAAGATCAATGATTCACCACATTCTACAGAATTGTGGTTTGAAATCTGAAAATGATAATCCTCCTACTATCTTGTACGAAGATAATGCAGCTTGTATAGCGCAACTAAAAGAAGGATATATCAAGGGAGATAGAACGAAACATATTTCACCAAAATTTTTCTTTACTCATGATCTCCAGAAAAATGGTGAGATAAATGTGCAGCAGATTCGATCAGACCAAAATTTAGCAGACTTGTTGACCAAGGCTTTACCGACCGCAACGTTCGAGAAATTAGTGAAGATCATCGGGATGCATCGGTTGCAAGATTTCAAATGATGTCCACATCAAAGGGAGCAATATTTCAAGTGATGTCCATAGGAAGGGAAGTATTTTTAATGCATGAATGACGTACTCTTTTTCCTTAACTAGGATTTTTATCCCGTTGGGTTTTTTCCTAGTAAGGTTTTAACGAGGCGTATTCAATGCAATTAAATGACACCTAAGGGAAAGTGTTATGACATATTATATATAGGTGTCATTAATTTATAATGCTTTGACTAATCTCTTGTAAAATTCCTATAAATATGGTTTTATAGGACAAATAAAGGTGATATATACAATTCTCTCTATTTGCATGTTTTTCTTCTCCTCTCCCTCGACTTTCTCTTTTTCTCTCTAAATTATATACACAGCTATACATATATATATTTATCTAAGTTATCTTTATATACATTATATACATACTTATATTTATATCATATTTGATATATTTCATAACAATTTTCACTTTATGCATCAATCCCCACTTATATATATAGGTAAGAATACATAATGCATACGAGACCTGCTACATAAAATATTTTTTAGTAAGTATATTAATTATTTTCATTTCTCAGGAAATTTAAAATACTACTACCACTTACTGTATTATTACATAAAAAGATTCTTTATAAAGGGAAGGGCAGAGATGTAATTTCGGAAAGTATTTATAAGAAATAGACGGCAACAGACAAACGAGATACCTCCTAATAAGCTTATTCCAGACCACGGTGCGCAAGGCTTTAGCGCCCGTTAATGAAATCAAACTACCATCGAATCATCGATATGTTTGCAGCAGGAGCAACAGCCAGAAAAGGAATCCCACCCGAAACCCAAAATCGTCAAAAACCATTAATGGTGAGAATCCACGGATTTGAAGTCCAAGAATTATCAAAATTTCACCCAATGAGGCAAAATCCGGTGGGGTTTTAACTTTTAAGAGGGGTGGGTGGGTGGTTCTGCCTGCCTGCATGGACGACATTCTGCAAAAGTCCCCTAATTTACTCGTCCGTTACTGACTGACTGACGTCATCGCCACCATTAGCATTAGCTAGCTGTTGCTGACTCACTCTGCTTTTCATATAATCGGGGCTGAGGAGGGGGAGGAGCTGCATTGTCTTGAGGAGAAGAGTTCAAAAAAAAATTAAGGGGATTCAGTTCAGTGGTGGTTTTCTCTGGAATTGCTTCGCCCTTTCTTTCTATATTTCAACAG